ACCCTTTAGTATATAAAATCTATTTTCATTATTATATTATGAACTCTCACACCTTTTTACTACATTTTAAACTTATTAAGCTTCAAGCGAGTTCAAAAATATTTTTCTAAAAAAAACTTATCAAATGAAGTCAAACAATGATCTTTTATACCAGAACTATAGCTATGCAAAAAATATCTAGGCTCAAAACAATTCTCTTATAAATCACCTTGTTGATTATACTTCAATAAAAAAATCACTCATGTTTCCAATATTGTTCGAAACGATATCTACCTGAATGGGGCCTAAATGACATCAAACAATATCATTACAAACTATCAGGCTGCACCACTGTTTATCTGTCGTCCAAGCTCCTGATAATAATGGTACTAATATTGTATTTGGCAGCGTAGATAGCCTATGGAATCAAAAGCCGATGTTTGCATATAAATTATTTTACCTAAGTTGAGTACAATGCGGTTTGCGATTTATACGGACCATGAGTTTATGAGTACGGATAGTGCCGGATAATTCATAGGTAAATTTTGTGGGTCAGCAAACAACTTTCGAAAGACAACGGCATATGTTTCACGTGCAATATCCCACAATGATGATTGATGGAAATTTGTCAACAAACAGGAAGTTCATTATTTTGTGGGAGTTAACACTGAGAGGAATTTATAGATGGTGTCGGATAATTATTCAAAAGTTAATAAATATGAGAATAATATCGTTTTTTGTATTAATTGTAAACTACATTTTTATATAGTAAATAATAAATAAATGGTGGCAATTTATCGCAGGGAAAGGTAAAGTAATAATATTCATAAATTACTTTATTTCTTTTGTAATATTTATTTGTATATAACCTATTTTTAATTGTAATTTTCATTTGTATTAATATTCCTAAAGTTTCTGTTTGTAAACTTCTACAGTACCAAAATGAACACAAAACACAAAAGAAATACAAAGCATCCATCTCTTATACTGGAGAATATTTAAAAGATTAGGATGGTATTAAATATGCGCAGATCAGATGTCAATAGATTAGACAGAGTTTCACAGAATATGAATTATGTAATGTTAAATTATTATCTAAACAATATACGGGGTGTCCCAGACTACCCGTCCACCCTTTCTAAAATTCAAAGTAAATAATAATATGGTTATGTGAAAAATGGTTCAGATGAAAGTTACTGGTCTCTAAGAGGCACATATTGTCGTGACCTTGTCTGTGTCCTTGAAGGTCATTTTCAAGTTCATTTCAATGTCAACTTAGTTTTTTTTCATGGAAACCCTTATTTTCAACCGCGGATTCGGAAAGAGCGAAAAATTCTACATTCAGGTGATGTGTGGGGTCCATTTGACCACCCAAGGTCGCGTATCATGTATCTACCTAGGTACCAAGATATTTTCCCCTATTTATTTGTAGGTCACATACCTACAATTTTTCGCTTTTTCTGAATCCAAAATTGAGAATAAGGGTTTCTACGTAAAAAATCGAAATTGACCTTAAAATAACCTTGAAACTTGTTTCCACGCCAAAGTCATGGTTATCGAAACATGTCACTTCAAAAATTTGCGACATTTATCTGACACATATTTCGTTAAACCTTAATTTTGCGGGTGGAAAGATTCAGTAAAAAAATTGACCTTCACGTGACCCTTCACATCAGCTGAACGTAGAATGTTCCGATGTTTCCGAATCCAGGGTTGAAAATAAGGGTTTCCATAAAAAAAAACTAAGCTGACATTGAAATTACTTTAAAAATTACCTTCAAGGTCACAGATAAGGTCACGACAATATGTGCCCCTTGGAGACCAGTGACTTTCATCTGAGCCACTTTTCACATAACCATGTAAGTACTTTGAATTTTAGAAGGGATGGACGAGTGGTCTGGGACACCTGGTATATAAAAAATACGGCCTTTTCGCAATAGAGAAAGAAAGGTTGTTTTAACTTCTTTCTCTTATATGGCTCTGTATTGAGAACTAACAAAATTACCAATAGATATTTGAAAATCCATTATTTAAAAGGGCAATGTGTATAATATTGATTCCTAATAGGAAAGGCAAAGTTTTGCTCAATTGGGATTCCTTGAATTGTTTTCAGTATCTCTGTTAAATGATTACTTAGGCTTTTCATTATATATATTACACTATATTTGGAAGCATAGAAGAATCTAGCAAACATTTAAGATACTATCTTTCATTTAAAACAATTATTGCAAGTTCTTGGCGTGAAGTTAAATGTTCTTTACACCCGAAGTAGATACTTCTTGAATCTGTTTTTTGTTAGAAAGACAGAAATAGAGCGATATTATTTTTTATGCATATTGGAAGGGAGCGTGTGTAGAAAACGTGGATAATATGAACCAATTTCAGCCACCGCACCGACTACAAAACTTTTTTAGAACTTCTCTTCTATATTCCTAACTCTACAACCTTTCGCATCAATTCAGTTATACGTAAGTTCGATATCAGTAACAGTTTTTTGTGCAGTAAAAGATTTAGGGAAATTACCAATTTCTTTTGGAATACTTTCTTTTTGTTCACAAACAACTTGAAATTGTTCGTCTATACATGGTGTGGCGTGTATAATCTATAAAAATTAAACTACAGCTTCCTAACGATATTTGTAATAGAAAAGTCTTATAAGAAAATGTTCTATTTTTGCGTTTTTTTTTTTTTCGTAAATTGAAGTTCAATTATGGATCAAACTATTTTCTCTGGAACGATCCTGTCCGTGTGCTGTACGATGAGTTACGTCCTGTAGACCAGCCGTGTAAACAAATCGTCGTTGAAAGATAGAAAGCAATTTTTGGGGAATTTTTCAATGCAAAAGTACAAACTAAGAAAAATAGATATTTAAAGAAAACTAATATTTTCTTATTATAATAATTAATTAATAGTAATAATTACTATCTTAAATGCATTTTGTTACTGCAGGAGTTCGCAAACAAAACCACATCCGTTAGCATTTGTAGTTGCCAACTGCGTTGTTCTATTCTGTTCTATTTTTTGCGTTTTTTTTTCGTAAATTAAAGTTCAATTATGGATCAAAATATTTTCTCCGGAACGGTCCTGTCCGTGTGCTGTACGATGAGTTACGTGCTGCGTAAAAAAATCGTCGAAATATAGAAGGATACTTCTCAAGTTTTGGAGATTTTTTCAGTGCAAAAGTACAAACTAAGAAAACTGATATTTTCTTATTGTAATAATTAATTGTAATTACTATCTTAAATGCATTGTTGTTACTGCAAGAGTTCGCAAACAAAACCACATAACCACGTAAGCATCTGTATAGTTGCCAACTGTATGCACTAAACAATCTCCATTAAAATATGGAACAAAATGAAATAAAACTTACCATTTCTAAAGAAAATGTTGAAATTGATCCCCATTAGCGCGGATACAGGCATGGCACCCAATTTTGGCGAATATTTTCCCAAATTCCAGGTATCCCCTAATTGTGTCAGCAGCTTCAAGTATACGGTTTCGCAATTATTCCACCGTAGCAATTGGAGTATTGTAAACCAACGACTTCAAGTGACTCCTAACATAAAAGTCTATTGGATTTAGATCGGGTGACCGTGGTGGCTACGGCACAGGACCAAAGCGTCCAATCCATCCCTGAGGAAACATTTCAATCAAAAGTGTCGTTACTTTTCAAGTACTGTTTGGAGGAGCTCCATCTTGAAGATAAAACATGCGGCCCCGAACTTGTAATGCCACATCGTCCAGGCAACCGGTTCTCCAAAAAGTCAGCATATCATTTTGGTCCATTTAGTCGTCCTTCAAAGAAATAGAGACCCACAGGTACATTGCCTATTATGCCAGTCCAAGCATTTACCCAGAACAGATTTTGAAAATGATTTTCCCTAATCGCTTGAGGGTTGGCCCATATGTGCATATTAATTCACTTCATCATTGGTAAATATCGTCTCATCTCTTACACAAACATAAGCAGAAAGTCTACTTAATTGGCAATTGCCGTAAAAACCATCTGCAAAAACGCATTCGTTGATCACAATCCGGGGGTAAAATCTATTGCAGATGATAGGGGTGCAACAGCTGGCGCCTTAAGAAGCGATGTACGGTACGAGATGAGGTACCTACTTGCTGTGCGAGTCGTCTAGTACTAATTATGGGGTCTTCGTCAAGATTTTCCAATACTGCATCTCCAACATTAAGGTTCACTTGCTGACCACGTCCTTCTCCTCAAGGAATAACACTTTCCGTATCTTGCAGCTGCTGAATGCACTGTAAGATTGTATTTGCACATGGCAGGGTGACGTTGTGGCCATCGTTCCCGGTACAACGTAGTCGCCGCGAGCGCCTTTTCTCCGGCTGCACCATACACTAACAACATATCGACACGCTCGGAAATTGTAAATGCATTGTTTTCTTCGGTTCATTGTAAAACTAGTTTGATCACAAACTAAAAAATTAAGCAAAGTAAGAAATAAGAATCTCGTTTTTAATATAATCGGCATAATTTTCTTATTTTTTACTTCTTTATAAAAATTACACTGCCACTATCGTGGAATTACAAAATAAAAACTTCGTCTGGAATATTTCGCTTTTTAACACTGACGGGTCGATGGACGATGCTTAATATTTAATAATGAATAAAATCAGTTGACTGCACAAATTTTTTGACAATGTAACCTTACCTTCTTTTAGTATTACTAGTATTAGATTATACCGACTTAAATTATAAGGTTGCATCTCAGGTCGCATGAAACATTTTCAAAGTTTTTAATAAATAATAAAGGGTCGGTCTTCATTTTCATTGAATAAATGAACTTTAATTTACAAAAAAAAACGCGTAGATAGAACTTTTTCGTATATGAGTTTTCTATTACAAAAATCATCAGGAAGCTGTAGTTTAATTTTTATAGATTATACACGCCACACCCTGTATATCATTGTGGATTGCTTTATAAGAATATTTAATGTAAAAGATAACAATAACTATACTTGATAAATATCTCAAAACTAACTCATTTATTTTCCAGATGATTGGTGCCAGTGTATTCGGTCTTTGCCTTTGGCTGAAGTTCGAACCCGGAATAGAAGAATGGCTAATTAAGTTGGAAGCAACGCAATTCTACATTGGGGTGTACATTCTTATTCTTGCTTCCATCGTCATCATGGTCGTTTCCTTCGTAGGGTGTATCAGCGCCCTGCAGGAAAGTTCACTTGCCCTTCTGATAGTAAGTCTTTATTCTCATTCTTTTAGATATGTAGAAAATTATTAATCAAATTCTATTACAACGATACATTTATTATTATATTAGCATTTCAACAAAAGGTGCATTAAAAAATATTTGTTTTCCTGTGCAATTTGCTAAATATCTTTCAGGAAAGAAATAATTAATATGGTTGAAGACAACTAATTATCGGAAGATCTATCGTAGTTAAAATTTAAGAGACTTGTGTTGCTGCTTTGTACATCAAAGTCTTCTTCTAGATTTGCAATCTACTCTACTCTCTCCTTTATTTTTCTTAAAGATGTTTGTGAACCTTGTGGATTGCTTTGAGACATCTAAAGCAATTTGAGGGATCTGCTTCATCGTAAATATACAAAGAACTCAATTTTTCCTAAACGAGCACTTAAAGCTAGTTATATTATAATAACTCTTTACGTATCATTCATTCATGTAGGACAAAACGCGCATAACAGCATATTGTTGAATCAGGCTAAGCTTTATTGTGAAACTTGTTATACTTCCACTGTACATGATAGATAAATAAGCAACAAACTTAGTACCTAAAGTGCTTCCGAGCTGTAATTGGTTTCCAACTGTTACATAAGTTAAAAGTAGATAATTGACACTCCTTCCAAGTCCAATAAAAATTATGTGATAATTAGAAAGTTTAAAGAAATTAACCTTCAAGCAAGTTTACCTAGTTCTGGATAAGCTTATTCCTCCTACTATAAGATTAAATCTGAATTTTGTCAACTATATAACTATAATGGTATCAATTTTAGAGGAGTATCTATGCCTAGATATTCCTACACCATATTCATCCGCTCACTATTTACAATCTTAACCTTATCCCTGAATAACTTTATTTGAATCAAGTAACAATTACCAATGGGTGTCAACTACTCAGAAAGAATTCATTCATTTGCCAACTATGTCACATACCAGAAATTAACTCCAATTCTTCCCCAACATTGCCCCTCCATAAAAAATTAAAGAACTGCAATTAGATGACCTTAGATCGAACAGCTGATCCTTTGAATGTCAACTATCTATCCCCACTGCTATTCCAACCTTCCAATCGTAACAGCAATGTTCCTCGTCTAGACCAAAAGGAGATAAATTTAAACACGTCTCACTGTCCACTACACCAACAATCTAAACAAATCTCTTCTTCTCTTCAAAGATAAATTTAAATTGTAATTCCCACAAGTAGTGGGATTCCCATTGAATAGTAGTGACATTTAAGATGTGACATATTATGACATGATTTGTATGGTTGTATGTTACCCACATTTAAAACATGTCTTTGGGTAGACATCCAAATAACCAAGTCATTCCCCTGTCGTCTCATATTGACGAACATTTCTAACAAGTCTGTAGGTGGTGACTCTTCTGACGAATGATTATGTGTTTAATGTAATTACGATTTGGATCTTATAAGTTATCATCAGTATTCCATAAATGAGACTAACTTTACAAACGATTCAGCTATTTCACATATTTTGAGTGTGGGTGAGACAGTAGCACTGACGATGTACATACTTTTTAGGTTACATTTCGCTCATGCTTCTGACTTATAAACTAGCTTCAGTTTAAAACAGAACTATAACTTGTAATGTGGTCAAAAAATTCTAATTAAACTAAGGTCTCCAAAATAACAAACATTGTAACAATTTTGTACCTATTCAAAATTGTCATAACTACAAATAACTTTTATTTTAAAACTATTCGATAACGATTTTGAACCAGTTTTAAAAAAGGTGTACGATACAGGACTGAGTTCCTTATTCCACTAGGAAGACATGAATTATCTGTCCCTAATATACGCTTGCTCGCGAAATACAAACCACCACGAAATATATTTCGCGTGCCCTATTGCGTCCAAAGGAAATCTCATTTCACATAAACAGAGCAGTCAGGCGACGCCAACTAAGACGTTTGTCTTGTTTGTTCTATCCGGTGGGTACAAAGTTTTCTTGCGTTGTTTTGTGTTCTTAAGTTCGCTTTGTCAAGATAAGAATCCTCGAGCAATTTACAATATTCCTGTTCGCCTACCAGAAATTCGCGGAAATTCAACGGTATATTTCCGTGTTTTCCGCAAACTCAGCCACTGGAGGGTCCGGAGACAGCTATTACATCCCTTCGTGACAGTGGCGTTATTTCTGCGTATTCGCGATACGTGACAAAAGGTGTTCTCGAGGAGAGTAAAAAAAATGTTCCATTTTTCACGCAGAATTTTTCGAGATATTGTTTCCGTAGCGGCAAATTTAAATTATTACTATCTTTAAATGGCTAAAAACACAAATTCGTTTGTTTCATCGTACAGAATTGTTATTTTTGAACTGTGTAACGCTACAATGTACATATTTCTAGATGTTGCTGATTGATATAAAAATAGTAAAAGCTAAATGAGTTTTGCCCAAAATTAAGAATCGCCTTATACCTCGTAATCGATGAAATCTTAAACTGTTATTACAAATTTCCCCTATTTTGACTTTCAAAGCCACATAATGATTTGCTGCCGATACATACCTATGTATATTGGAAAACTAAATTCTTACGCTTTTCTCTTATAGTCCACTCAAACATCAAGTCTTGTCAAGTCATAAAAATAGCACATAAGTTCACTATTTTCCACCCCATTACCACTCACTTAATCGTGGAATGCCTATACCACTTCTATTCGACGCAGAATGATAAATTCTACAAAATAACATCAAAATCACGCCGATCGCACCATACCTGCGCCCAGCGGTCACAACCGAACATTTTTTACATCTTTCAAATACTAATTTATTTATGCATTATGTACAAAACATTTCGTTTCATTATGTTTGTTTACTTAGAAGATATTTAGAGAGAAAATATGTTTTGCACTTTTACAAGATTGTAAAAATTACAATGTAAAATTAATTTCTGTATGTTAGAACCACTCAGTAATATTACAATAGCAAGACAAAATTTCATTATAAATAATTTTAGAATGAAATTGTATACTTTTTTGTTTGTAAAATCACAATGTGTAAGAAAGTTACAACAAAAATGAAAGATAAATAAATTACGGTCTAATTGTAAGTAATTTATTCTTATAATGCGTTATATGAAAACAGAATTTCCAATTCCTGGAGTAGTTACGGCCTATTTTAAGGGATATTAACGACGACAGTGAATTTCTCACGCCTCTTTTATTATTTGCATTCTTAGCAAAATAGTAGCATTTAAAGCAGTGCGTTTCACCAAGTTTAGATCCTTCCTTGGCAAATTCCCTTCATAAAAGGGCTGGAAAGTCCCATAAAACAGTAGTTAGTTTGTGGGAACAGCCATATTCAGTGCCATTTTCTCATAATATTGTTTTTATGGAATAACTTGGCCATATTATTAAGTTGTTTAGAGTATATTAAAATATCTGAAACTCTGCAAATAAAATATTTGAATTAGACTGTTGTTTGACACGAAATTCTAGATGAAAATTCATTAGTAATATAATATTTCTGAAACAAAAAGTCATCCAAATGAAACGAATTTCCGAACTCATTTCATGAGGCTGTTCCTTGGACTATTTCAGAGCCTAAAATAAACTCACCATGCATAATATGAAAAAATTAAGACTATTTCTAAAACTATTTATTTCAGAAAAAAAAATCTATAAAAATTATCTGTTGCAAATTCAATTTTAAATACAGTACAATCATTAGGATGTGGATAAATTGGTGGAGGAGAAATTTGTCCCTTGCTACGCAGTGTGTTGAAATGGAAAAAATGCACTTTTATTCAAATACCTCTAAAAATATCTGCAATAAACTGAACGAACTCCTGAAGTTTTGATTTGTACTTAAAAGACACCCTATATATGTAACAATACAAGAAAGATAATACAATAAGTAATTGAAAAAGTTTTACAATTTTTATATTTATAAAGCCCCAAAGATTTTATATTCATGAACCAACCAGGCAATGCCTGTTATAAAAATTCTTCAGTTAAATTACGCTCAAATTACATTGGTTTTAATTAAGCATTTTACGTGAAGGGAAATAAAAAGAAATTGGGAATTTAATTACCTTGAAAATGTCTGATATAATCTCTTCAAGGTTTTTTGCTTTAAGCACCTCATGTTATTACTGTCATATTAAAGTTGGACATAAAATTCCAATTAGAGACGATCGAGCACTACATTGGAAACGGTCACTTATTCATATCAAGTACAAAGGGAGATTTATTTGAACACGGCAACATTTTAAAAGCAAATTTATCTACTTTATAAAAGACAACATATAAAATTTCAAATCAGTGGACGTTAATCTATTTTTAAATAATAGTTCCAAATACTAAGTACCTACTGTCGAACACTCGATAATAGTCAGCTGATGAAATATCATAGAGCCACTCAAGTGAGTAATTGGCACTCGTGTTTGTTTTGCAGTTACTTTAGTTCAATTCAATTCACTCGTCTAATTAATAATGATCAAGGACTTCTTGTAAGCCATTTACAATGCCACAAGCATAATTCCTGAGCAACGGAAAAGTGTAATCCCATACACGGACATTTTCTTAATTGGAACAATATCGAACGTACAAGGTCTACAGGTTTTATTTTTGAAAATACAAAAAAAATAATGAATATATAAGTTTATGCATTTTCTTGTCAGAATTTTGTATCAGATCAAGATTTTAACAGTGTTTATTAGAAAATAATCGAACTTGTGAACGTAGCCTCATCGATCCAAAGTATTTCTAGTAAGAATTCTGGATTATGTTGTGACTTTTAATAATAATAATAATAATAAAAATAATAAACCTAAATATTCTTGTAATATTATAGTTAGTATGCATTTTCTGTCACAAGGGGATTGTATTGGTATCAATAACTTCAGAACGGCCAATTTTAGGAAAAAAATTCAAGTCACCTTTTTTATATATTTTGTGCATTAGAATATAAATCCGTTGCATAACTTGTAAAAAATGCAGTGGCGTCAAGTTGTACACCACCTTTAGAGCTCATATT